TGGTAATAATTTTCCATACGCTGCCTCAAAGTCTGCAGTCTCGTGTTAGTATCCAGTTTATACTGTTAGGCCACACCGACTTAATTTTATGGATGACATCCTCTGAAGACCCCCAAAGTAGTGCGCGGGGGGGGGGGGAATGAAAAAAAATTCCGGCCAAAAATAAAAATGCCACTAAACCATAGGAATACAAAGCTGGTATTGTGAATTTGCGTCAGTACATAGCGATGCATACGACAAGCCGGCACATGCTAGCTTTTTGCAGAATTTATGAATCGGCACTGTATGTATGTTGAGATCAACTAAAAAATGCCCATATTTTGCCCCCAACAGTTGAGGTAAATCCTTTTCTTTCTAGTCCTTACAGCATTCCATCTATCAATGCAGTGGTCAAAAATTACTTCGAATTAAAAGTTCAAAATTCATTGTTTTAATATTAATCCAGCCTTTTGTGTTGACTTCATGGCTCCTATTGTAGCATTTGGGGCTATAATAGGATGTCTAGACCTGTTTTTATTTCTATTTTTTTTTTCTGAAAAAATCCGAGAACCAACAAATCAAATTGGTGTGACCTAACGTATTTGCCGTGGGATAGCTCTGTCGTGGGAGGCTGCATTCTATAGCCTCCGTGAGAATTCTTTGATTGCCGGTTTGAGGTGCCATCGGAGTACTTTTGAAAACTAGTGATCTCTTTGGAATGGTAAATCTAATAGCCTAGGTCGTCTCTTTGAACGTGCACCCGCTCCATACGAGTATCCTCTTTGTACAAATATACATAAACCATCACGCTAAGTCTGATAGATGGCTTACGTTTTCTGTAGCTCAAAACTTCAAGTTTAGAATACAAAGTGTGTGGAGATGTTGGATGACACAGACGTTTTTGGTGAGAGAGGCAATCTATAATCCTTACAAACAGGAAAATTTCCGTCAGTAGGTCATAGTTCTCGGTTATCTTGACAAAGGAGACCCCTACTGAAAGGTTGATAGGTTAATATACTCTCCTCTCCAGCCAGGAGTGATATATGGGTACTTAGAGGCTATTATCGGCCAGAGTGATGCGGCATTAACTATGCGTCATCAATACAAGCACAAGCCGGTTAACTGGCGTGTTTATCAGGTACTGGACGTGATGTTGGGCGGATACTAGCCTCCTGTGCAGGCCTCCGGGCGGGTACCGGTGGGAGGTTTCATTTGTAGAATTTTTTGGCGACTTCTCAGGGAGGAGCCTAATGGTACAGTATTGTGTGCAGTTTGCAAGAATTCTAGGAACGGTGCAGGCATTTTGTCCACAGGAATGGAATGTCCACAGGCATGTCTCTGACCCACATCTATGCCCACATTCCTGGAAACCCTTGGGAAGACCTATCTGCCTCGGATGGCCCTACTTTCTGTGACCCCGGGGCTCGTTCACTATACACTCAGGGGAAGAGTGCACTGTATCTATCTAGACTTAACAACGTACAGGTACCAAGTTTTCCTCAAAATCATGAAATGATGGCAGTGCCATGCAAACAATAACCCTAACAGCGACCACCGTCGCCATGGCAATGTATGTTTTTATTGCCAGTCTTGTAACTCGTTCTTTTGCCGGCCATCCTACAACCAGCCGCCCAGAGAAGGTTTGTCCGTGGCGGATACGGGCGGCTGGTTGTAGGACGGCCGGCAAAAGAATGCGTTAACAATTCTACAAAGCGCAGTATCAAAACTCCCGCCCGCCCTTAGGCCTGCACAGGAGGCTAGTCGGATGCCCTAGACCTTCAACAGTTACAACAGTCCGGAAATTGACATTTGTCGCCACTGGCTCTCAATATGAACAAAATACGACTGGGAGGTGTAGGAAAGCCCATTCATTGGCATGCAAGGTGTGATATAAAGTAAACCTGTTCTCCTCTGTGCTTTTATTTTATGGACACAATGTCTTAACTTATACTAGCAACATTTATCGAAATCATAACCAATACCGGGCTGTCTTTTCCATCCCTTGCAGTACAGTTGTTGGAGCTCTTTCACACTAAAGCACACATAGCATTGATTGCAACAAAAGGCTCCATAATAGTTATTCTATAAGTTTCTTTTCCGATAGCTTAATGTGATTCTGATAAGTATATAGACACACTTGATCAAAGTATGTTCATGAAAGCATGTACATAGAAGCAATAGAATAACGCGGCCAGTTGGAAGATCATGAAAGGATGTTACAAGAGAGATTACAGAGATGGCTGAGCAAATCACCCGTCATCTTTTTGGGCGACGCTGAATAGACAGATAACTTCTAATTCATTCTAATCTCCCGTTTTTATACGTAAAGGCTGCGAGAAGAGTCTTAGGATTGTGGAATAACTACATTGGATTTTTGCGCGCCTCAATGCCTTTGTATTCTCGTCAACGAAGCTTCATGTTAGCTTTGACTACATGAATGAACACTCGCGCTCTCAGTTGAGCTCGTATTTTTTTCTAAGCCTCCTATATTTCACAACATATAACTTTATATACAACCATATAAGTATGGACCATTACGTTGGTACATGTACGTACTACTTTACTTAAATACATGTACGTATTGAGGTTTAATGCCCATTTTCACGTTCCGTATTGTCTTACATGATATATTTGAAGCTAGAGAACACTTTGATACTTTGAAACCCAAACCTAAGAACAAATATGTGTATTTGAGACTTAAACTGCAGAGTTTGATGCCCAGGGCAACACAATAAGGAATTTCTCCCCACTGTGGCTTCTCCAGCAGCTTGAATAGTGAATTAACCCCCATATAACAACATAAATTCATAAACATCCCAAACTGTCTCTGCATGCCCCAGAAACAAAAGGCATGGTCGACAGATTAGCATAATACTGGTCACTTTTTTGAACGGATTCCAATATTTTTCTAAACTTTTTTTTCAAAGTAACAATATCAAACCAAACCCAATATGTCAATATGTTTCAAACCCAAATTAAGTCTTTAAGAGCCCTCTGCCCATGTTACCACCACAGTAGTCAGGGATAGAATGAGGCCTGTTAGTTTACGTAGACCGAATTTATTTGGTGCTTACTAGTATATAGTACATGTCTGCTTTATAAAGCTTCCATGTCCTATTGTGCAAAAAAAAAAAGATGAAATCTAGCCATACAAGTACTTGTTAATAATGTTCATGTCAACACGTTAACGTATCTAACAAGAATTGTTCACCGGAAACCACACATTTGTTATGACTTTGACGATCATTGATTTCATGAAGGCAGTAGAAGCACTGAAAATCATGCACTGAACTAATTACAGAGCCAATAGACAGGTTAATTAATTGACGTGTTTTGTTATTTTGTAGACGGAAGGAGACGTAAAAGGAACCACGTCCCAGAAAAGATACTAATTATATTATCCAATTATACGTATCTTCCTGTTCAGTTGTCACTTATCATTATTTCAATTAATAATTGAAAGTGATTACTTCTCATTATGTATATCACCATGGAAATATGAAGACAACCAGTTAGTCCCTGTGCAACACTCTACAGAGAAGAAAACCGTAAAATCACGTAAGGCCACAACAAGTAAATTTTATGGACGACATCCTCCGCAGACTCCAAATCTAATATGGTAGGGCAAAAAACAAGGTGGGCCAAATAAAACAAGATTCTTACATTTTCAACTTTTGAACTGTACTGCCAACTATTACAACATCAATTTTTTTAATGAAAAATGAATGTTTTCAAAATGTTTTGATTCAGTGAACATCACATATAAAAGGAATGAAATACATCACTGCATCAAAGTAAAAGACAAAACAATAAATCAGAGCCTTGCCTTGTCTTCTATCTGCAATCCATGTTCCAGTATGGTAACAGACATCTTTGCCCATTTTCGGCATGTTGACCACTGTCAGAGGTAACAAAATTTCTTTTTTTTCCCAAAAATCTGGCGAATTCAAATGAATGGGCGTGCTTATGTCGCCATAAAAATTACTTGCTGTGGCATAATCTCCAGGCACGGTGGCAAGGCAGTATCCATACGGACAAGAAGTTCCGTCCACGGTGGCTAATGGACACTGCTTGAGCGATGACATACTGCCTTTCCACCGTAGGGTTTGTTTGTGCATTTCCGTAGTTTAGAAGCTTTTAGTGTGAAGGTTACAACATTGACTGCTATTTCCTTACATGAACTCTGAGGAAAATGAAATAAAAAGAAACATATCGCGCCTTCAAAAGCACAAAATGTATGAAGACATTGCCTCTTACAAGGACACACTCTGTCAACACATGTTCAGAAAACGAGAAACATGTACAAATGGGCATTTTAAGTGTTTCAGGGCAATAATATGTTCGTCTTCCCTTCAAAAACACCATAAAAACGTCAAAAGACTCTCACCATAAGCGCGCGCGGGGAGTGCTTTTATGTCCAAACCCATCAAAAGAAAGTACACACTTTATAATAAAGCCCTAGCAGAAGATGACATGGGGAAACAACTTTTATGGACATGGTGACAGTCCACATTACCGGTCCTTTCAACTTGGCAAAAAGTGGTGCAACATATTTCAGAGAAGTTACATTTCAAAGTGAATTCATTTCTATTTGTCATTTCAAAGTGAATTCATTTCTATTTGTCATTTCAAAGTGAATTCATTTCTATTTGTCATTTCAAAGTGAATTCATTTCTATGTCATTTCAAGTTTAGTAAGCTTGTTGTTTTTACGTTTACCGAAGGAAAACATATTGTTTTTGCTCAGTTTCCTCTTCTCCAAACATAAAAGGTCAATGACCTGAACCAGACGTCTGTCACCATGGTAACTGGTGTTGGGTTACATCATGTTGCAATTTTATGGCAGAAGGGATTTAGACGCCTGTCACCATATATATGAAGGAGTAAGAATTAACAGAGAAGAACATGACCATATAACCATGTTATATGTATTTGCTTTGCAAATGTTACTTTTCTAGTTTCTAGTTGTCTGTCATGTCAAGTTTTGTAAGCTTGTTGTTTTCCATTTTTTTCTTTCTTCAGAAACTACATCATCGTGTACCCGATGAAGGCCAAGAGCGAATGCACCATGAGCCGAACCCGCCGAGTCATCGCGATGATCTGGATAACTTCACTGATTCTGTGCGCCCCTGTGCTGTATGGACAGGTACTGCAGCATATTGTACACCACCGTCTACTACTAAGCCTAAATCTACTGCGTAACGTTATGTATGCGGTCTTCATCGCATGACGAAACAGCAAGATATGAATTACGATGTTAATTCGTGCTTTGCTTGTCCTATGTATTATATGTTGGTGGCGGCATTAATATAAGTCTAATTTCAGTATTGTCACCATGTATTGTTAGTAAATGTTTGAATAATAAAAGAGATATGAACAATTAGAAAACACGGCCCATTGTAAGAATGTTCAATTATCATATCGCTTAGATACTATAATTATGTTAATCTTTACAGAAGGAAAATATATTGTTTTTGCTGTCTCTTCTTCCTCTTCTTCTTTTCCAAACAAATAAGGTCAATGACCTGAACCAGACGTCTGTCACCATGGTAACTAGTGTTGGGTTACATCATGTTGCAATTTTATAGCAGGAGGGATTTAGACCCCTGTTATGTGATTGAGTAAGAATTAACAGAGCAGACCATATGCAAAGGTAAACATGATGTTGGGTTACATCATGTTGCAATTTTATAGCAGGAGGGATTTCAAGTGCAAGTGTTACCTTATTTTTTATGTCATCCACATCCAGCAACTGAACCGGTATGAGTGGCCCGTGTACACGGCCTACCACTGCCAGAAGGGCTGGCCCCGCCGAATCTACTCCCGGATATACGCCATCTACGTCCCCATCTTCCTCTTCTTCATCCCCGTCATTGTCATGGTGGCCGCTTACGGCAGGGCGTCCTTCGAGCTGTGGGCCAGCGAAGAGGTGAGTAGTCATTATGTGTATAGAGATATGTGCAATATATGTAGCCACGCGCCGCCATGTTGGTGGAGCTATGCACAAGGAACACATATCCAATCACCCATCTGTGTAGATATGTAAATATTGTACATTTGGGAATGCATCTATAGCAGCGACACCTGTGCTGCAGTGCAATGTGAACCAGTCAGAATTGCCCTGAGGAAGGTGACAGACGGTCACCGAAACGTCGGCTGAATAAAAGACTGAGCAAACTACCGCGAAGAACTAAAAGCGCAAATTTACGCTATGTCTACTTTTTATACATATGCTTTTCATGTACAGATGCATGCTTTGCCATGTTATGTTTTATCACATATCTTTAAAATATATAATGTATACCTTTTAATCTTCTAACAATATTATTAAATATAGATCCAAATCTACACCATTGTTTCATTTGTATATACATGTTACCATTCAACCTCATCATTTGTTTTTGTTTTTCTTTATCTCGATGCAGGTTGTTCTGATTCCTCTTCGACCATTGCAGGTGAAGAAGACCACGCCCAACAGTTCAGGGCGTGGCGACACCCGGGACCTCCAGCGAACCCACCTGTCTACCATCAGTCCCTTCAGCGGCAAGTTTTCCAGAAAGAACTCCAAACTGGAGAAACAACAGGTTAGATAGTAAATCTGTGTTTGGTAGTTATGTTTACCAAAGGAAAACATATTGTTTTTACTCAGTTTCTTCCTCTTCTTCTTCTCCAAACAGTGACCTATGACCTGACCAATGACATGATTTGTTGATGTCTGTCACCATGGTGACCTGTGTTGGGTTACATAATGTTGTAATTTCATGGCCTGCTCTGGTCCTGTCACCATATACCGGTAGTGCATGTATGTGAATGTGTTTGAGTAAGAATTAACAGAGCAGACCATGCCTGAGGGTAAACATTATGCATTTGCTTTGCAAATGTTACTTCTCTAGTTACATGTTTAAAGTTAAAACTTTAGATCCAACACAATAGCGGTCTCTCATCTATGGCTTTCGACCAGTCACTCTGGTCTTCCTCAGTAGACTGACCCAGTGAGGCTTGTCACTCAACCGCGACGGGGGCCGACATTGCCTACCAGATACTAGTACATTTGACCCAGTGTTGACGTCACACTTCAAAGAAGCCACGTGACAAGTCTTTGCCCATTTTCGGCACGTTGACCACTGTCAGAGTGCAACGAAATGTTTTTTTCTCCCAAAATCAGGCGAAAATTAATGCGCGCGCTGGTGTCATCCATAAAAATTACTTGCTGTGGCCTTATCAGAGAACACAATCTGCTCCCTCAGGTGATGAAGATGTTGCTGATGGTGGTGTTCCTGTACACCATGTGCTGGACGCCCATCCTCCTCCTCAACATGCTGATTGAGTTCTCTGCCGTCAACAAACACACGGAACAGGTCTGGGCTCTTGAAACCACCTTCGAGCTGTTGGTTTACATCAACAGGTATTAAAACTCCTCACAATGTGTATACTACTGACTCTGAACATAAAATAACGGAGGTACAGCGGCTGTCCTTCCGCGATATTATCATTTCTCAAGTGCATGTGTTTGTTGTAGTAAAATGTTGAACTTTATTCCAACACAAGGGTTACACAGAGATCAAGTTTTCAAAGACCACTATTGCCTTCATCAGGATAATTAATGACCAATCACTTCACAACGTGATCTCGCGAGAGTTACGCTTACAGACACGTGACCTTATGTACACGAAACTTTACGGATATGTGATTGGTCAGCAATTGATTAAACGTGCCAAGGAGTTTATATCGTCCACCGTCTCTGTATCGTGCATGTGTTTGTGTTGTGTGTGGCCACAAGATGGTACAATCTAGTCAGTGGTAAGTAAGAACATGTACATGTAGATAAACTTTTCATCTTTCTCTTGTAACAGTTGCGTCAACCCCATCTGCTACGCCTTCATGTCGCGTCACTTCCGGGACGGCTTCCGGAAGGCCTGCCTGTCGTGCTTCTGCGGGCGCCGCCTGGCGGCAAAGTTGCAACTGCAGGGCCGCCCTCACCTGAAGTTCCAGCACAGCGGGGCCACCAGCAGCACCGGCTCAGAGACGTTCCACTCCTTCTGACTAAGGCAAGAACTGCAGAACATGCTGCCGCTCATGACGCGACCAGCCGTGCCAAACGACCTCCTGGAGATGAGAGAACTGAAACAAAGGAAGAGCACCAGGACTCAAGGGCGGACCACAACTGTCATGGCGCTCTCGCCGTCTTTGCCCTGTCGGAGGGGTACGCCCTGCACGCATAGACGTCATCAAGTGAAGTCCAAAAACGTAGCGATAGCTGTTCACAACACACAAACTAGATAGCCTAACGATAGCTGTTCACAGCACACAGACTAGATAGCCTATAGTAGTTGGCGCAAACATGGGGAAGAAAGCATCTGTCCTTGGTGCTGAAAACTGTGTACGGCGGAAACAGAAAGTGTCAATAAACTTGGCAGGGGCGTATGTTGTACTTGAGTAAAGTCAACCTAACAATGGCTGTTCACAGCACACAGACTAGATAACCGATTGCAGAGCCTAAGGGTTTGTAACCCTTCCGTGTCTTGTTGTTTAAAGCTTTCTAAAGCTTTCTCGTCAGCACGTAGGTGAGGAAATTTGGCTGTGTAAAAGAAAACTCCTGTATAAAATACATGAGCGCGTCCCAAGAACATGATTTCTTCAGGCAAAGAGTAGTGATCGCTTTGTAAGGACGAGAAGATGTTTGAAGGTATTTGACAAGGTAAAAGTTTCGGCATTATCTACTATAAAAGTGATGTGACATGACATGAGATTATGCCGTGCGCTATCAAAAAGGGCCAGGACGCCCGATGGTTGCTCAAAATGTGTACGTACATGTATATATGTTCTGTGGTACCTAAATGGTAATTATTGTACATTATGTCTCGAACTTCCTTATGAAGAGAGACAAGAGATTAGAGTTGGGTCTAACAATCTTTATTGACAATGGAAAATGTTTACTGTATATATTAAGACGTACTGAGGTCTGTGTTGTGTACATCATTTGATGACAATTGTTTGATGAAGAAAGGAATTTCGTGCCATCTACTAGTATCTATTGTAGAACATATTAGAGTTACCGTTGAACATCAATGTTCGTGATGTTTATAAGGACCAATGATAAGTGACATACTGTTTAATAAATGACGTAAATATTTGAGGTGGTTGAAATGTGAAATCATCTAACTGTTCAATGTATGAAACCCCGGAAGTTTTGCTTGACTGTATAAAAAGCACACCGCAATGTATTATCTTCAAGCTGAAGTAAAAAAAAAACAAGAACATCTAAAACTGTGATATCCTCCTACGTACGTGCACTTACTGTCTGTAACTTTCTGAACACTTTCGACAAAGTCGAGTTCTAAGTCGACTGCATTCATTGGTCGTACTTACAATGTACATGTAAATGGGTGTAGTTTTTGAGAGCTGTATTGAAAACAAAAGCTGGTTGTTCCATATTTGCGTGACGAACTACTAGTAACTTCGTGGTGCGTTAACATTGATGGCATTGTGTCATTTTTCGAGCCGTCGGTTGCGTGAATCTTTCTTCAATGTTCAAAGATGTTATATAGGTACGTGAACGTTCAAGTCGTGAAATAAATTTTGTCCACGTCAGTGTAAAATCATGCAAGTTGTTCTTCTTTGCGGTGCAATATGTAGACGTACACAAAACACAAACTAAGACAATGCAGCGTAACACATCAGCAACACAACACAACACAGTACAGCACCAAAACTAGAGTTCCGCGAACACATGCCTTCGCCAAAGGATATTAAGCTGTGCGACGTGACGGAAAGCCATGTCACTACATCTTCATTTGACGTGTCTATTGTCAGTGATTACCTCACATTTAATAGGACAAGTTATCCCCTTTCGTCATATATTCTTTTTTTTTATATTCCAACATATAATCACAAGACGTGGTGACGGCACACTCGAGTTTTTTTCAACTTACATTAATGCCGCCACCAACACAGGGGACAATACGAGTACAATACTAATTTTAACCTGAGCGAAGTGAGGAAAGTCGTGTTAAGTGCCTTTCCCAAGGGCACATGGTCGGTGGCATGTCAGGACTCGAACCCGGGACCTCTTGGTTCCGAGTCGAGCACTCTGCCGCTACGCCACACGACCCCACATTATTTGCCAGGGATATCTAGGTATCTAGTGCAACACTTCCCACAGACGAGCGAACAGCCGCACCACACGGTCCCCAGGACAGCTGTACAGGCGGACAGCAGGAACGCAGCCACGTCCAGCAGGTAGTACTGGTACCACGGCAGCTCCACGGCGCGTGCGCGGAGATGGGGCAGTCCGCCATGTTTGATGACGTGTTCTATCCACCAGACGGCCCGCTCCATGGGTGACTGGGGCTGGTCACGGTGCAGACGGGACAGGCGGGCGGCCGTCTCACGGTAGCTGCGGAGCAGGATATAAAAAAAGGAGCAAGTCTCTCTCTCTTCTTACCACACACACACACACACACACACACACACACAACACACACACACACACACACACACACACACACACACACACACACACACACACACGCACACTACGTTGATGCAGTCATCAACGTAGTTCCAACTCAAACTTTTCTGCACCGCATTGAAAGCAAGTATACCAAATCCTGTATGCCCTATCGACATCAGCATTACCTGTTGTTGGTAACAACATGAAGAATGGCCTGGTACAGCTGGTCGGCGGTGACCGTGCTGAAGTCCAGCGTCACCCCCAGCCTCCTGGCCACCACCCGGGCGGCGTTGGCGGGCTGGTCCCCGAACAGCGGCAGGCAGACCACGGGCACGCCGTGGTGCAGGGCCTCGTACAGTCCGTTCGACCCGGCGTGAGTGATGAAGGCTCGGGTCTTTGGGTGAGCTACAACAAATACTGTAAGTCAGGCATGTAGCAAATCATCTGGAAAATGTACGATATAGTCTATACATGGGAAAATCCGAAGGAAAAATATTACAGACACACGCTCAGAACCGCGTACCCCATAAGTGCTTGGTGTTTTGGTTTTATGTTTTTAAGTGATCGGATTATATCTTATATTACTGCTGTATTTTATCATCGATCATTAGATCTACTCCCACATTTTGTCTCTTATAGTTATGGTGATAATGAAAATTGTACCCAGTAGGTCGTTCTGAGGCAGCCAACCCAGCAGTTTGGTGTTGTTGCCCAGCCCGACCGGCTCCTCTCCCACGTAACGCCACAACACCTTCTGCCGGAGTCGAGCGAAGGCTGCCGCGAAGATTTCTTTCTTATCTTCCGACATCGTCTTGACCATGGACCCGAAACTGACGACAATCACTCCATCCTTTCCAGAACTCTGGACAAACGCCTCCATGTCCTGTAAAAAGATAGATCAATGGACTATTTATTTCCATTTGTTCACATTTTCTTCTTTTCCTTTGGAATTGGGTTTGCCATTCTATGGCATTTGTATCGTTTTTCAATATTTTTTGCAATTTACGTCATATATTTTCTCATTTCCTTTCCGTTGCTTTGTATGATTTAAAGCATGGTCGAAAAACATTTTTGGAACGGACGAAAATGTGTGCGCGCGGATGTCATCCATATAATCAAATCAAAGCAACTTTTTTCCAAACTTTTTTTTATTCGCACGCTCGCATCAGTTTTGGGGTTCCCAGAGGATGTCATACATACAATCAAATATATAGTGTAAGAACTCACCTCACTAAGGGGGACGGGCACACGGACATTCAGTCCCCCAACCTGAATCATGTTGGGCATGCCTGGACGAGGAAAATCCAGCACATTGTCGGTACGATAAAGCCACAAGTCCGTACGCGACGTCACGCTCTGAAGAGTTTCATCCTCGCCGACGTACCTCCGGACCAGTTCGTCATACTCGCTACTGATGGCCCAACGTAACGTCACGGTTGTAAGCGTAGACAGTACCACGTTGTGAAGTCGCTATATGAAGGTCATGTCATCGGTAAAGGCGGTACCTAAATGGGGTACATACGACAGAGGGAGCGGCACGCCCGTAGCTTTTTCGTCGAGACAGTAAGGATCCGCACGCATAACGGCGATGTGGGGAACCCTGAAGTCTAGATGGGCTGCAAGGATAGCGCCGCAAGGAAACATGGGGTCAGAAATAACAACCTTGTACTGGGATGTCCTCAGCCGACCTAACAGGTTACTGTCACCCAGTAACAGAGCACAGCATTGCCTGGATCTCCTGGTCGCGGCTATGAATACCTCTCTGAATTTGTTGAAAGACAATTTCCCAGCTGTAGAGAACAAGTGATCTTGTTTTTCCTTGAATCCTACTTGGATTCCTTCGTCTTCGAATGCCTCAAACTGAAAGTCAGACCACTCTGTCTGTCGTTTTTTTACAATGTCCTCGGAAACAACCACGGTGACGATATGGCCTCTATCCACCAAAGCACGGCCGATTTTGGCCAGGGTTATCCAGTGGCTGTCGCCAAATGGTGGCGGTACAAGCAGGACCTTCTCTGCGTTGCTCCTGTGCTTGACGAGGAAACTCAGACAAACTATGAGAATGGCAGAACACCGAAGCTCGGATGCAACTCCCATGTTGCTATCCTTGACTCTTGTCCAACGACTTCATGTATATAAACAGGTGCAAAGTGCGTAGAGGTCAAAGGTACAAACGCCTTAGGACTTGGTGTACAGGGTCATAGTTGAAGTATGTGCGGCAGTAAATCGCCTTAAACCAACCATTTCTCCCAGGGATATACTTAAGTGCAATCGTATTAGTATACAGTGCAATTTTACTACTATGCAGTGCAATTTTACTAGTAAAATTGCTCCGTATACTAATACGATTGCACTATATTTCATAAAATTGCACTGTATACTAATACGATTGTACTATATTCCGTAAAATTGCACTGTATTCTGTAAAATTGCACTGTATTCTGTAAAATTGCACTGTATTCTGTAAAATTGCACTGCATTCCGTAAAATTGCACTGCATTCCGTAAAATTGCACTGTATACTCTGGCACCCTCGAAGTTCGTGAATGTGTGACAGGGGCTCAACATTCTAGAACATACAGAGCTCTGTTCTAACTCGCGAACTGTTACCAAGATACAGATTACGTTACCATCAGTCGCAGCCACACGTTAGCCAGTGTTATATACACCATCAGAGCGACACAGTAATTAAAAACTCAACATGAGGGTGCGGTCCAAACTGCTCTCTCTGATGCATCTAGACAAGACGTACTGTCTGCTAACAGTCAGGCATGTCAAGATCTCCCAAACTTACTTCAGTCTGATGGACATACACGGCAACAGCTCAATGAACGGTAGGTCCCTTTACCATTTTACCAGTCCGTATATACAACGGTAGATCCCTTTCCTATCATCATCAACCGACATAAACAATTATATTATCATCAGTCGGTATCATTATCGTAATCCGTATAAACAAGATATTCTCTTGATCTACAGAGGCAAAAATTGCCTCGTATTTTGACAGAAAAACATTAAAAAGACTAGAAAGGTAACATTTGCAAAGCAAATGCATAATGTTTACCTTCGCATATGGTCTGCTCTGTTAATTCTTATTCAAATACATTCATATACAAATGTATATGACAGGAGTCTAAATCCCTCCTGCTATAAAATTGCAACATGATGTAACCCAACACTAGTTACCATGGTGACAGACGTCCGGTTTAGGTCATTGACCGAAGAGGAAACAGACCAAACAACAACAATATGTTTTCCTTCGATAAACATAAAAAGAATGAATATTTGGATTACTCCGTAAGGCTTGTTAACTAGAATCGATGTAAAGCTCATGTAGTTGCAAACGAACAACGGCCTCTGGTTTAATTAACAATCCCCTTCTACTTACCAAACACGGTCCAGACGTCCAGATGTACTGTTTCCTGCGGCTGGTCACTGACCTGAAGAAGGACGAGATCTACCAGCTGTTCGACATGCTGGACGTGGACGGATCCGGGCAGCTCGAGTTCTCCGAGTTCTTCATCCTCGTCTGTCTGCTCATCGCCGTACAGGTCTGTCTACCTCGTCTTATAGAGTAAAGAAACTAGGATTAAAGCAGTGTAAGGCCACACCGACTTAACTTTATGGATGACATCCGCGCGAGAGAGAGAGTGAGAGAGAGAGGGAGGGGGAGAGAGAGAGTGAGAGAGGGGGAGACAGAGAG